AGAGGGCAGTGCCGGTTGCGTGCAGCCCGGCGCACACCGCCGCCAGCAAGCCCATGCGGCTGCCGCCCCGCGCCTCCCGCCAGCCGCCGGGCGCGGTGCTGCCGGGCGGGCCGGCAGGCATGTACTGCAGAACACCCGGGGAGAGCGCACCCGCNGCCGCCGCTGCCGCCAGCGCCAGCAGCGCCAGGCCGGGGACGGCGTGGCTCCAGAAGTTGACTCGCTCGTAAGGATCGTGAAAGATGCCTGCTCGGCGGGAGGAAAGTGGTGGGTTGGTAGCCTGCAATGCAGCGACACCCGCGTGGCGCGGGGGTGACAGGCAGTGGCGCGCGGGCGTGGGCCCGGCCGCGGGCCAGCCGCCTGCCAGCTGCGGGCTCACAGTGCCACCAGGGGGTGTGCGGGAAGGAGCCTGCCGGGGAGCCCGCGGGCCTGCAGGGAGGCGCGGCGCCATTGCTTACGGGGGTGTGCAGGCGCCATGCCAGCAGGAGCAGGCTTGCGCCACAGGCCTCAGCCCCGAGGCACCGCCCCGAGGTGCTGCTGCAGCAGCCCCCTGCGCCTGGCAGGCGTGGAGGGCGCAGGAGCGGCAGGCGCCGCAGGCGCCGTGGACGCCGAGGGTTGCGGCGGCGGCCGCGCCGCACCCCCACCTGCACGCCACCAGCCTGCCAGTGGCTGGGTCATGAAGCTCCCGCCAGTGTGCGGCCTGCCAGCAAGCACACAGATGGATGGACGTTCAGCACCATGCCAAGGCGGCAGGAGGGCGCACGGGGCGGCGGCAGCATTCGCAGCACCTTGCTGGCGTAGTCCGCGTGACCATTGGCGTGGCTGGCGTGTCCCATACCACCCCCGCCCTGCTTGCGCCGCTTGATGGCGGAGCGCGTGAGCGCCATGCCAATTGGGGTGGGAGTTGGAAGGTGGCGCCAGCCGCAGCACTATGTCACTGAGTTTGTCGAGTGATCGCCAATGCTTGAGGTGGCCGCAACTCGCGGTAGGAGCAGCAATTCCTCCTCCTTTCCACCTCGCCTGCTCTCCCCACACGGCTCGCTTTCCTGCCCTGTGCTTCTGTCCAGAGGGACATCCAATCGTCCCACTGGCTCCCCAGCCTGCTATCCCAGCTCCTGCTTTCAGCCGATCACCAAACTTGCAGGCCTCCCCTCCCACGTGCCTATCTGCCGTTGTAACAGCGTTTTCATGCGCCAGCGGCACCTCTAAACGCCGGCTACACGCCGACCGACCGCCCCCAATCCTTGGCCATCTCCACCAGCGGCAACCGAGCGCCATGTACAAGCGCGACTTTGGAATCCTGCTCCTCTCGGTGTGCGCCCTCTACCTATCGCTGCAGCACGAGGGAGCCTACCAGTTCAAGAAGGCCTGGTGCGCCGCCGCCCGCCCACCGGCAGCCGCCTCCAGGCTCGGTTCGGCAGCTGCCTGCTGCATGCGTGCACCCTGGTGTTGCTGCAGAGAAGCCCAGCCGGCCCGCTCGCCCGCTGCACGCCTTGCTGGCGCCGTGGCCGCCATTCAAGTTTGCTGCACCGATGCGTCTGCCGCCGCCGGCTGCCGCGCGCCCCCTTTGTTGGCCCCTCGTTTCAGCGAGCTGCAGCAGCCGACAGACCAGCTCACCGTACCTAGGCATCACCGTACCGCCTGGCTGTACTGCCTGCAGGTACCACTCCTTCTCCGACCACGAGCCCGCCCTGCATGAACTGGAGGAGCACCCGCAGCCGCTGCCGCCGCCCCTAGTGGTGAGGCGCCGCCTGGCTTGTGTGGAGCCTCTGCTTGCTTCGCCTGCTGCTCCTGCTGCTGCTGCTGGTTGTGGGGCTGCCCGCTGCCGCGGCCGCCGCCCCCGGCGATTGTGCGAGCCGCTGCTGCCGCCGCTGCGTTGGGCTGGCCGTCGGCGCTGCGGCGGCCTGGCCTGCAGCTGCTTGCTACCGCCGCCGCCGATGTCGCCCCCGCCGCTGCCGCCTGCACTGCCACCGCGGCCGCCGCCGCCGGCGAGCGCGCCGCGCCCTCCAACCGCCGCTGCATCCGCGGCGCCTGTGTGCCGACTCGCTCCCCGCGCCTTCTTTTGAGAAGAACAATGGGCACACCCGCTCGCTCCTGTCACCCGCCGCCGCGGCCGTCGCCTTTGGCTGATCGTTGGCGCCGCCCCGCGCCGCGAGTGCGCCTCGCCCCCTGCCTCCTTCCCACCCTGGCCGCTCTTTCTCACCCGCCGCTGGCTGCCCATCACTTCCGCTGCCACCAGGCGGACCTCAACGGTGACGGCAAGCCCGAGGTGGTGGTGGTCACGCCCACCGGCCGCGTGCAGCTGCTGGCGCCGCGCCGCTTCGGTGACGGCTTCGCAAAGGCAGAGGTGCGGCGTGTGTGTGTGTGTGTGTGTGTGTGTGTGCGTGCGTGTGTGTGTGTGATCTGGTGGTGGGGGGCAGCTGCGTGTTTGGT